CCTCCCTTCCTTCCTTCCTCCCTCCTTTCCTTCTTCTTTTATTTTTTTTTCCTGGAAAGATCTTTCCTTTACTTCCCTATGTACATGGATTTCAAGTTTTATGACATTAACCATATCTTCAACTTTTCATCTTCAAATTGAAAGCAAGCAATGTGGGAAGCCATCAAGTTATTTTTCTCTTCTTTCTCCAACCACTCTTTCCTGTTTTCTAAATACATGCTCATTTATTTACTAGTATGTATGTAGGCAAAACACTCATGTGCATGAATAAAAATAAATAAATATATCAGAAATGAATACTGGTAAAGAGTCATTTTAGATTGAAATGAAATTAAGCTCGATGTAATATTGTTAATGAATATAAAATATTGCAAATTTACCACTGTGGACTGATATGTAATACAAGGAAGGGAGTTAAGGTAGGAGTGGCTTAAGTCACAGAATGAAGTGTTCTAGTTTAATGATGTCAACTTAATCTCACCCAAGCATTAAGGTTCTGCCTCAGAAATGTTCAGAAAATCTAAGTGGTTGAAGTTCTGAACTCTCTTAATGCTAGTAGTCATGACTTAGTTTTGCTCTTGAAATGAGCTGATTCACCAAGACATCAAGATGTTTCAGAATTCCACTAAGAACCAGATGAAGGGAAACAAAAAGAAGTCCTGTTCCCTCCAGTTCAGAAATAGATGAGTAAAATGAGATATTTAGTGACATCAGCTTAGAAACACTGAGGAGAGATCCAAAGGTTTAGTAATTGGAAAAAATATGTCTCTCAGACAGTTTTGGAAAGTAATTTTCTAAGCTACACATACTAGAAATAAATCTATTGATATTTAATAATTTGAATAAAAATTTGATATCTTTAAGGAATTTAAAGTAAATGACATTTCAAACAAAATTACCATTAATCAAAAATCTTTATTTGTCCAAAATACATTTCTAAGAAATTCCTTGGAATGCCTTCCTTTATACTCATCCTCTGTAGTCATATGTTATATATACTTCACATGAATGGAGAAATTCTATTATCTACAGACAGACTGCTGCTGCAATTATCTTTATTGGAAAAAAGTGAGAGGGAAATAGTGGATAAGTAAATAACAAATTTCAATTGTATGTAGTTTAATTTTCAACTGTTATCCTTGTTATGGTATAGAATTCAATTAGACTTTACCTTTCATTGAGGTCAATTATTTCTTAGATGGTTAAAAATCATAATACTTGTGATTATAAAGCATGACTGTGCTATGTTCTTCAGTGTATGGCCTAACATGAATTTTAGAAATTGCTTTATTGGAAATAAGATGGTGTCATTTTGTTTGTAGCTAGTGAGCATCTTAATTAGGAAGTGAAAGATGAAGCTAAGTTTTACTTAATTTATATTAAAAAATGGTTTTGCTGGAATCTCCCACTCAATTTTCTATAGGA